GGCTCACTGTAGCCTTGACCTCCTGGGCTCAATCAGCCCTCCTGCCTGAGCCTCCTGAGTAGCTGGGTCTACAGGCATATGCCACCACACCTAGTTAATTTTTTTATTATTGTTTTTTGTAGAGACAGGGTCTCATGACGTTGCTCAGTCTGTTTTCAAACTCTGGGCTTAAGTGATCCTTTTGCCTCAGCCTCCCAAAGTGCTAGGATAACAGATGTGAGCCATTGTCAGACTTAGTGTCTCTGCATGGTTATAATTCATCTTTTCCCCACTGATTTTAAAAGATGTTTTTTTCAGATACTAGGTTTTTATATGCAACAAGATTTGTTTCTCAGCTTTCCATCTCAGGTGTTCTTGCCCAAGCTGGATAATCATTTGTGGAGTTTGTAATTGATTGTTGATGGGTTTTTATGATGACATCTTTACTCCAGTATTCAATTGACCTGCCTATTGCTAGCATACTGTCATTTATTTATGATGTTCTTCTTAAAAGTCCCTCATGCCTTTTTAAATGAATTTGCTTTATGATTTTTTGTTGTGAATGGGATGCTTATCTTCCCACCGTTTTCTAGCTGATTATCATTGATACAGAAGAAAGTTACTTGTTTTTGTTTGTTGATTTTTATGGTTGGCAATCTTGATGAATGCATACTATTTTTCATATTTATCTGCCACATTGTCAGGATTTTCTAGATATACATTCCTCACAACATTTGTAAATGATATTTTTGCTGTGCCTTTCCAACAGCTATACATTTCTATTTGTCCTCGGCTGATTGAATGGCACGAACTTTCAAACTAATGCTAAATAATAATAGAAAAGGCGAACATCCTTATTTGGAATGTTTCTGGTTTGAGCTATGATTTGAAAGAGTGCTGGTGTGTGTGCTTGAGGGCAGAGAACATTCCAGGATAGAAGGTGGCATGTTCAAATTATGAAGACAGGAGTGAGAAAGTTAGTGTGGAAACAGGTTGTACAAAGCTGAAGCTCTGTGTGGAGGAGTTACAACAAGAATAGAGGTAGCTCCTCTGAGGAGGGTGAGATTAATGAGACATGGTGGGTGATTCAGGCGTACTGTAGAGTGTGGTGCTATAGAATCAGTTAAGCTAGGCGTGAGAGCTTCGTCAGTGAGATGGTGGTATCTAAATCATAGGGCTATGACTGAGGTAATGTATGATCAAAGTACTTAGCCCAATGCCTGGCACCCAGTAAACACTAAACAAATGCCATGTATTATTATTGTTGTTGTCAGTATAATAAAATAATGTAGAGCTTGAAAGGGGAATTGAAAAAAAAAATAAGAGGGAATTGACATGATAAAAATGGTATGTGTGAATAAAATCAGTTGCATGTCGGATGTGTCAAAGCAGGAAAAACAAATAAACTAAAATCGGCGGGAATCTATGTGTTCAGCATTCTTTCATTAGTGAGTGTTGAGGGAATCCCTGCTCTGCAAGGCTAGCCATTGGCCGGGCCACCAGGGGTCCCCATGATAACGCACAGCCAGTTGCTTGAGCACTGTTAGGGTGATTCGTGCTCCCAGCAGCCTTCCATGACCACATGTGATTATTAATGTGTTAGAATAGTTTACCTTAGTGTCTTGCACACATCTTGATTTGTAATGTATATATTTAATAATTATGAAAGAAAGCAGTTATTTGCTTTCTTTAATATACATTATCTTCAAATTCCCAACTTAGTGATGATGCAATCATTCTTTTCACATGTGTATGTTTTTTTGTGTCTCGGGGAAGCTTTGAAATACTTGTTGATTTATGGAGAGTGAAAAGTGAACCGAACTTTCTCAGAACATTTAGAAAAACTCAGACACTTAAAAGCTAAAATCAAACAGTATTTGAAATGATTTATACAACTGCAGCCATAACTTTTTTCCACTTAAGCCAAAGTACAGTCTAAATAACCTTTCATACTGCTAAGTCCTCTAAATGGAAGCAATAGATGTCTATAAATCAAACGATAGTTTACATTTATTTCGTAACTCATTTTTCCTCTTAAAACTTAGTATGTCCTCTAAAAAGTTGACCACACAGTCCTGATCTAATTTAAATTGACACAAATAAAGAAATACATTAAAAGATTTTAGAGAATAATATACTGCCACAGTTAGTTTAGAGAAGCACAGTATTGAAGGCAAGTCGAGTGACACAAGGTGCAGTGGAGTTTGCTTATTTGAAATAAGAGAATTCAGCTCTAAGCTCATCAGTAGTGAGTGATAAACAGGATCACTGCGGTGGGGTAAATCTTGAAATACCCTGCTGGACTGATCCTTGAAATTCACAAAATACTCTAATTTTTTAAAAACTTCTTACCTTGAAATAGTTTATGTTCATAAGTTGCAAAGTACCTTTCACCCAGCTTCCCCAGTGGTAACATCCTACGTAACCATGGTGCATTGTCAAACCCGGTAAATTAACCATGGTACAATACTGTAACACAGTGATTGGAATTACTTTTACATCCTCTATTATTTCATTATGATCACTTCTGAAATTTACTGTCTCTTATTTTCTAGGATGGTACATCTCAGAATGGTTAGCAAAAACTAGTTTATAAGTTTAACCTACAACCTACGACTCTTTGTTCTGTTAGATGATAACCGGATTTTAAGTGCATCATGAAGACAGGAACAACACAAGTGAGATCAGGAGAGACCTGCACATCACTGGGACGTGCCCTGCATTCTGATGCTGCCATGTTAGAGAGACACAAATGCTTTAAAGTGCTCAGAGAGCCAGAGCAGCCTTTGCTGTGTTTGTGGTCCAGTTGCCTCATGTGTAAAGTCAGAATATGCCATGAGATCACTCATCCTAAGCATTTTCACCTGCTGTTACATCCTTAACTTGTCTTTTTACTGTAATAGCAATGGTTTTTTTAGTCTGTCCTTGAACTGTTGACTCATTGGCTTTTAAGCATTTTGGAGCAAACCTGCAGTAAGAAATGCATTTTACATTATGATCTATTATACAAATGCATGTATGTACATTTAGGTGTGTATGTGTACATACATGTAAGAGTGAAACTGAAACAAAAGTACCACGAATCTAAAGTTACTGTGTGCAGTACGCTACAGTATTTTCTTTCCCATTTCTTTTTTTAATTTTTTTTAATGCTGGTCACAAGCTACTATACAGATTTTACAAACCACCAGTAGATAATGGCGCACAGTTTGAAAAGTCTCCACGTTAACTTATCCTGCCTAATGATTTTATTTATTCTACTTTCTTTCCCAAGTCAACCATAAAACCTTTTTCCGAAGAGATGTTTTAGAACTAAATTATTTAGAGCCAATAAAACCACAACTTTTATTTAACCCCACCACCGCTTCTCCTCATGTGTGTTATTTTATCTGAATGACATCTTTCAGGATGGATGGTATATACATGTACAAGATAGTGTGAAAAATGATGCAATGCAGTGCTGTGACTACACTATCATAGGTAGGAAAGTGTTGAATTGCCTTGTGGAATCAGAAATGACCATTCATCTGGGCTTAGTTGCTTCTGATTCAGATTTTACCCTAGTTTAAGCCACGGTAGGGAGGGAGTGAGGAACAAGTAAGGCATGTAGAAAGCAGTTAGAGAATACATTAGTCCTGGTTGCTTGATGATAGGGAACTTGGAGCAGAAGGGAGGGGCTGTTGTTTGGGGGTCTAAAATCAGACTAGGATCAAGTTGTGAAGAGTCCTTTATGACTGCTCAGAGACTTATATGTGACTGGGGAGTGAATGGGGAGGCCTTTGAGGTTTGAAGTTTGTAAGCAGAGAAGTGACATGAGCAGATATAAGCCGCAGGCAAAAAGTGAAGGTTTCAGTGTGGACTTTTTCAGTGCGGTTGAGGGGCACAGAGATTGAAGGCAGGGAGAAAACAGTCTATCTCAAGCAATAGATGAGAACAAATAGAAAAATATAGTGAATCCTACCATATACTTAAAAACACCTAGTGTTTTATCTGTAAGAAAAATAGAAAAATATAGTGAATCCTACCATATACTTAAAAACACCTAGTGTTTTATCTGTAAGAATGATCTACATTATTTTGATAACATTTTATTCTTTTCTCAGCATCACATTTAGGAAAAAAAAATTAATCTTTTATCCAGCATTTAGCTGTTTCATTCAGCAGGACTGTTGGAAATAGTAGACCCGTCGTGCTGCTGAAACAGAAGTTCCTCCATTTGATTTGTGTATTCTTCCATGTTTTTGCTTTATTCTTGGAGGTTGCCTTAATTTTATTCTCCTACTCTCCCCACTGTTTTGGTTTGGTTTTTGTTTTTGTTTTGGCAATGATATTTTCATTTCCGGTAGCTGCTGCCTGTTCTTTTCTTCATTTTTCACAGCATCTTGATTTTCTTTAATGAATATAGCCTTTTTTGATAAATAAAAATACATATGCACATAGACCCTGTGTACCCTAAAGGCCTTACAATCTAGGCAAGAGATGATGAGGATCTAAACCTGGGCATTGATGATGAGTATGTAAAAGAAAAGCTACAAGGGATATATTGAGATAAAATTATCAAGATTTGAGGACTGATTGGTAGTAACTGAGGATAAGGAATCAAGAGTCAGTGCTAATTCTCAGCCTGAAAAGAGCACTAGAAAACGCCCACAGCTGACAATATACTCAGGGGGAAAGACTGAAAGCTTTGCTCTAAGATGGGAATAAGACAGCAATTTCTACCATTGCCACTTCTATTCAAAATGGTGCTGGTGGTTTTCACCACAAGAATTTGTCAAGAAAAAAATTAAAAGCATTCCTATTGCAAGGAAGAAATAAAATTATATCTCTTTGCAGATGACATGCATGATCTTGTATATGGAACATCCTAAGGAACACATACACACACACACACACACACACGCACACACACACTGTTAGAAATGATAGGCTGGGCGCAGTGACTCACACCTGTAATCCTAGCACTTTGGGAGGCCAAGGCGGACGGATCACTGGAGGCCAGGAGTTTAAACCAGCCTGGTCAACATGGTGAAACCCTGTCTCTACTAAAAATACAAAAAATTAGCCAGGTGTGGTGGTGCGTACCTGTAATCCCAGCTACTCTGGAGGCTGAAGCAGGAGAATTGCTGGAACCCGGGAGGCAGAGGCTGCAGTAAGCCAAAAATCGTGCCATTGTACTCTAGCCTGGGCAACAAGAACAAAACTCCATCTCAAAAAAAAATGAGAACTGATAAACCAGTTCAGCAGAGTTGCAGGATATAAGATCAATATACAAAAATTATATTTCTGTATTCTAGCAAGAAACAATCTAAAAATTAAATTAAGAAGACCATTCTATTTACACTAGCATCTGAAAGAGTAACATACTTAGGAATAAATTTAACAAAAGAAATTCAAGACTTGTACAGTAAAAATTATAAAATGTCATCAAAGGAAATTAAAGAAGATGTAAATAAATGGAAAGATGTCTCACGTTCATGGATTGTAATATTTATTATTGTTAAAGATGGCAATACACCCCAAATTGACCTACAGATTGAACACAATCTCTATCAAAATCTCAGCTGCCTTTTTTGCAGAAAATGACAAATCTAATCAGAAAATGTCTCATGGAAATGCAGGAGACCCAGAATAGCCAAAACAGTCTTGAAAAGGAACAAAGCTAGAGGGCTCACATTTCCCAATGGCAGCACTTATTACAGAGCTATTCAAGACTATGTGGCGCTGGCATAAGGATAAACACACAGGTCAGTGGAATACAGCTGAGATTCCAGGAAACAAAAAACAAAAAACAACCATACATTTATGTTCAGTTGACAACTCATTGGGGAAAGAATTGTCCTTTCAAAGAGTGGTGCTGGGAAAACTGGATCTCCACTTGCAAAAGAATGAAATTGGACTCCTACCTGGTACTATATATATATATATAAACCTCAAAACAGATCAAAGACCTAAATTTAAGAGTTAAAACTGAAAATTCCTAGAAGAAAACATAGATTTACATATGTATTTATGACCTTGGATTAGTCAATGGCTTCTTAGGTATGTCACCTAAAGCATGAGCAACCAAAGAAACAAAAGATTTTTTAAATTTTAATTTGTATCCAAAGAACACTACCATGAAAGTGAAATAACCCACAGAATGGGAGAATATGTATCTGATCAGAGTTTAATCTTTAGAAAACAACCCATTTCAAAGTGAGCAAAGGGTTCGAAGGGATATTTTTCCGAGAAAGATATAAAAATGACAAATTAGCACATGAAAGATGTTCAGCATTATTAGTCAGGGATGTGCAAATCAAAACCACAGTCCCACTGGGATGGATATAATAAAAAGATGGGCAGTTGCGAGTGTTTGTGTAGAGGTGGAGAAATTAGAACCCTTATTCATTGCTGGTGAGAATGTAAAGGGTACAGCGGCCCTGGGATACCGTCTCCTAGCTCCTCAAAAGTTAAACAGAGTTACTAGATAGTCTAGCAATTCCACTCCAGGGTGGTAGGGAACTCCCACCCAATAGAACCGAAAACATATGCCCACCCAAAAATCTATGCAAATGTACATAACAGCCTTATTCATGATAGCCAAAAAGTGGAAACCACCCAGTGGATGGCTGGTTGTATCCACACAATGGAAAATTAGTCATAAAAAGAAATGAAGTATTGATACATGTTGCAACATGGATAGACCTTGAAAACATTATGCTCAGTGCAAAAAACCAGACACAAAAAACCACTGTTACATGATTCCATTCATAGGAAATGTCCAGAACAGGTAAATCCATAGAGACAAAACAGATTAGTGGCTGCCAGGAGCTGAAGGAAGGAGAAATGGAGAGGGACTGCGAATGGGTCCGGGGTTTCTCGTGGGAGTGAGGAAAATGTACTGGAGTTGGTGATGATGGTTGCACAATCTTGTGAATATACGAAAACCACTAAAGTGTACACTTTAAAAGAGTGAATTATATGCTGTGTCACGATTATCTCAATTTTTTAAAAACGAGTCACTGTTGACATAATGTCTTAGAAGCAGGGAAGGGCTGTGATGAGCCACACTTGATGCCTCCATTCCTTTCCAGGAAGAGGGAGACTACATTGCGACAGAAGTTAGAGACTGGCTTTCCTGGGAAGGCTGTTCTGGCTAGTGTTCTGAGGGACTAGATTTAACGTGCTGACCTATAGATCGGGAAGGAAATACGGGGACATCAGCTCACCTCAGCCTTCAACAAGCCGTCACTCACCACAGACCTTTCCAACGTTGCACCTCAAACCTTCAAACTTAGGAGATGTGAGAAGAAAGCCAACTATTCTTACAGAGCTCCTATATATAAAATGCCTATCATATCATTATAGCATTTTAAAAGAATGCCAGTTGATTCTATTTTTTTTTTTTTTTTTTTTTGAGACAGAGTCTTGTTCTGTCACCAGGCGCCAGGCTGGAGTGCAGTGGTGCAACCTCGGCTCACTGCAACCTCCACCTCCTGGGTTCAAGCAGTTCTCCTGCCTCAGCCTCCCAAGTAGCTGGGACTACAGGCACCCACCACCACGCCCAGCTGGTTTTTGTATTTTTTTAGTAGAGATGGGGTTCCACCATGTTGGCCAGGATGGTCTCAATCTCTTGACCTCATGATCCGCCCCCCCCCGCCTCCCAAAGTGCTGGGATTACAGGCGTGAGCCACCGCGCCCAGCCAATTCTATTGCTTTACTAATAATACTTCAGTGCAACAGTGTTATTTATAGTGAATATTAATTTTAACTAATGGTGTTGAATATTTTTATCTAATACATTTTTTAAATTCCCATAATGTATACTGTTTGGCATTACCCAAGTTTTCCATCTATTTCAGCCACAACTGTATCAGTTTCTTTTTTGTAAAAAAATAAATAAAATATAAATAAATAATTGCTAGAAACTGTTGCATCAGGAATTTTGGAAATTCTTCAGATGAAACAGTCAGGGAGGATTGATGACATGTTGACAGAATGCAGGCAGCCCTAGTCATTTCGGTGGCTCAGTTACAACCTTAATTTCTACAGTTATTCTGAACAAAATGCAGGTAGTAACATGACCTGCAGATGACATACTGTCAAGCCCTGGGCTGTCTTTTAGAATGTGCAGTTACTTAATAAGCTTTGGAATGCCTTCGCATGGGAAGTGGAGGGGCAGTTATTATGAATTCTTCTATTATGGAAGCTGTTTTTTTTTTTTTTTTTTTTTTTTTTTTTT